TCAAAGGTGTTTGAAGTGCTAGTGTGCAGTTTGAAAGCAGCCCAGCGCTTCTGCCTGCCACTTTTATTTGTCTGCAGTTGTCCTCCGCTGCTCAATTCAAACACCCAAAATTACTTACTGGCCAACGATTGGATTCTCTTTTGTGCCAACATCTAATCATGATATTGTTTGTCATCCAAACCGCGTCTGATTTCGTTAATAAGTATGCACTGTCGGACTGTTCACTGATTTGTTTGTTCAAGTACTCGTTATGCATGCCTCCCTGNNNNCCTCCCTGCTCGAATCACTACAGCCGCACACAACTCGGGTCAGTTTAGGGTATATGAAAGTTGTCTTTTGCTGTTCGTGTCGACAAGTTACTCTCGTCGCCCTACTCCTGTCCAGTGTTGCCACGGATTGCTTATTACGGAAGAGTTTCCAACCTTTTATTCCGGGAAAATTATGCCCCTTCCCGAACGTGTCGCTCAGGTCGCCTTTTTCGGTGAAAGTTTATAAGACATACAAATCGTACCGAATCGGTTGGTGATTGGGGGAGTTCAGTGTGGTTGCGCATTTTGCTTCAGATGTATGTCAATTCTTGAGAACTGGATGAAATCATTCGTTATAAAAAAACGTCTGTGGTTAGCTTGTGGGGTGAATGTTACCAAGTTACTTTGGCTAGGGCAAAAACATTCTCTTTCGGGGATTCACCACCAAAGCCCTCGGCTGGCCGAGGTATTACTCATAATTTATAGGGATGATGTGTGAGGACCGTACATTAGTTGGGGGGGGGGGCGCTGTCCCGTTTATCGAATTATATGTCCGTCAGACGAAGTCAAAATTGTCAGTACATCCGAATGTTCAACCGAACCGGTGACTACTACCATAACCAGGAAGCTGTGTGTGCATGTGTACGGTTTGCAGTCGTTCAACTGTCAGCAGTTCATCAGTCCAAGTTTTAGCCTCAGATGTTGGCTTTTCGTCCTCTCGCTTTGGTGGGAACACATCTGCTTCACGTGAAAACGGTGAATGGGACTTCCTCGGAATGGGCTCGTGGTATAAAAGCATTTGGTTTGGTGCGAGGCATTCATTCACCCCGGACCACACTGTGGCTCACTGAAGCCCATGGATATGTTTCTCTGGCATGAGCCTATTATGCCTGTGTTACACTCATCTTTGTGGTCATTTCTCATCGATCGCCATTTTCGCGAATTCGTTTCCTTTTAGTTCGTTCTAATCAGAAGCCATATTTTCTATCTTTCTTTCACAGGTACAATCTGGAATATGTAGAAAGCGGTCTGAAAATATGTTTGAGCGGTTTCAGTCAGAAGTTGTTTGTGAGTGCTTGTTTCTCCGTCAATTGAACTTTTATCCCCCCCCCCCCCCCCCCCCCCCCGATAGTGCGTCACATCCAATCCCACGTAGACTGATTTCCAGTTCACTCCTGGTCGCACATCCCAACCATGCACGAGCGTCCCATTTCAACCAGGCCAAGTGGGTTTCGTGTGTTTAATGGAAGCGTGAGCTGAGCAACAGTCCACACGTCAGTCACATCCCTTGGACGACGTAATGGGAATGGACCAACTTTCAATACTCGAGATTGAAATATCTGTATAAACTTTTCTGTCCTAAGCCACATGCATACCTGCTGATTGACCTTGATCTTCCTTTACGTAATGAGAGTAATGTTTACATCAAAATATTCGGTAGAAAAGTACCGTTATCAACACAACGACATGTTCCTTTATCGATCAAACTACCTTATCGATTCAGTGTCGAGATCAGTTCGACAGTATTGTGTATGTTGGCCCTGGTGGTAACGTCACTATATTATCACCACGTAGGACGTATGTTCGAATCCCACCACCAGTCTTTCCTCATTATGTGTTGTTTGTTGCAGTCATTTGATTGGCCGCCACCACTGTCCAGAAAATTATATCTTCGTATATTTTACTAAAGGAAGTAAAAATGAAAAAGATACGCATTTCGTACTCTCGTGCTCATTCTGTCATTCCTGTTTTGGTTTCAGTGCTTCTATCAGGCAATCCTGGATCATATCCTTGATAGCAATACGGAAACGTCGAGTGCACACTTTGAGGCTTATCGGGACGCAATTCGGAAACTCTATTTCAACGAGGCACTAAAACCGAGAGTGTTAAATACGTGAGTTGACTTAGTGCGTCAATATGTCTATCTTCTCTAAACACTGTTCATCTATCCACTGAAAATCGGAATGGGCTTGTGCTTGTCCTTTTGATTTCTTATCCGGATTGTTGTTTTTGTTGTGCTTTTTATTAAATGAGCCGAGTTTGTTCAATGCTTGTATCCAACTCAGTTCTCTCAAATATCGCACGTTTTGAACTACGGTTTGTAAGCTGCTACCTTTTGAAAATCGAACGTAGTCATTATTATGTTGACAAAAAGAGGCTGATTCTCAGATAATCAAAAACGATATGTGGAATGGGGCTGAGTGACTAACCGAAATGAAAAAATGGGGTGTACGAATCATGTTTTAATGAAACATATATGAACCGATTAACCTACAATGGAATTTTGACGGTACCCAATATGCTTTTTGACTGATTTACAAAATTGCGGACTGCCCATTCTGTTTTATCTGGAGTCAGTAAAAATCACTGGGTTAAGGAGAATCCCACCCCTGAATGAGAATTAGGAACTCATTGGTCATCAATATTAAGGTGCTAGTAATTTTCACGACTTTCGGTTGAATTGATATGAATGAAAAACGTGAAGAAGTACTTTATTTTCCTTGGTTAAGATGCCGCGCACTCGCAGAATCGAAATGGTATAGCGATAAACCCGCTAACTCTCTTCATATCAAATTCCAGTGTACTGAAACGCCATAGGTTTTACGCCTTATAAAAGAAGGCACTCACAAATTGTCGCAGTTCTCAACGTGCATTGTACACTTTGTCAGGCAGTCAGCGTACTTCCTGTAAACTGCTGCTCTGGCACAACCAATCAGAACAAGGTCAACCGAATTCAGGTTATGTGGCGAAACCGACAGCCACGTGGGGCGGTTGGCAGCAATCCAGGAAACCTGTTATGTTGTATGTGCATTCCCACATCCTCTCTCCCTTAGAAATAACCATATTTCTGCATGATAAATGGATTCCTACACGCTTCCAGTTGTGTTCTATTTCACCACGTTCAGAGTTGCAATCTGTATGTGAAAATGTTCCCGAAAGCAATCATTTCACGTTCCAGGATCAAAACAATTCCGCACGGTTACAGCGCCTCTGCTTTTTCAGTGACGTTCATAAACATCTGCTATTTGGGCTATAAACTTCGAAAACATACCTTATTTTCTCGACCGAAAGAAGCTCACTCATCCGCTGATCTCACCACATATTGTTACAGTTAAGCCACTATGGTACTGGTGCGGACAAGTCAATTGGTCTGAGAAAAATTCATCTACCTCCTTTTTTGGGTGTCTTTCACCACATTTCTTGGTTAAGTTATTTGCTTAACAAGGTTCGATGTACAGTGAACGGTTATAGTTTTGTATCCCCGACAGTGATCACTTGAAGGCCATTTAAATTGTACCTCTCCGATGCGTCACTAACTTATGAAGCCTAATCTTAATAAACGACAACGCTTGAAACGTGAAAATTCCAACTGGAACACAGTTGGTACGAATTTTATAAGCCGAATGTAGGATCTTTATTGTGTCACATTAGTGCTGACATGATATCATTTAACGATATCGTCAGTTCTTCTCGAAAATGTGATGTACATGCGCTGCTTAGGAGGTATCCCCACTAAAGAATGCAAAGTAACGGAGTGGTTTCACAGTTTAGAAAAAACGTTGACATTTGCAGCAGTATTTCTTTCTAATTTTACTTTCTTTTTATTGAATACGCAATGATACAGTTTTCAGGAAGGGGGAAGCGGCCAATCAAAGGGCTGCTATGAGGAAAGTCAGGCGATGATGGTGGGGTTCGAACACACGTCCCTCAAAGTGATAATTTGGTGACGTTACCACCGGACCACCACCGCCCGGAACAGACGTGTAAAATCAAATCCTGTTGATCGGTATTCAATCTCAAAACTTGACATCTGCGTTTGACGACATTTCCAGAATCTCTGCCCCGAAGATCATCACAATTTTAACTTACATCACAAATGATAAGTGTTGATTAGTCAACCATGTTCCCTGTAAACTTGTCTTCTCTACAAACGATCTGAATTAATCAGGTTTCACATGCCTGGCCTAAATGAACTTTCTAAAAATAGGATTTTCGACAAAGACACCAACAAACTGCTTAATGGAGCCCTATGCTTTATGTTCATGTGTGTGTGTTCGCTCGCTACTTCTTTCGCGTTGGCTATCATGGTAACGTCATCGCCACAACTATCCAGAGATCGTGTTTTCCAATCCCACTAGAAAAACACTAAGAAAATTGTTTGTGCCACTGTATATTCAATAATTGAGGAAGGAACGATCTACCATTTGTGTTTTTATTATACTTATCATCATCGCTATTCACTTTCCTTCTCACTGCAGGCATTTGCAATTCTATTTGTTACGCAAAGACGCCTTCCTGTTAGACGACCTGTTGTTGGCCGTTCGTCGTCTGACCGTGTCCGATCTGTTAGCCTACAAACAACGTTTCTTTGCCAACTTGCGAATCACAGCCTACGTGCATGGTAACCTCACTGCCCAAGTTAGTTCCATCACATTTCACCCGTAACCAGTCTCATTTTTATTGTCCTTATTGAGATGTGAAAACGCATCTGTTTAATTGATAATCATTTTCACCATCTGATGTTGGTACTAGACTGAAATGACTGATTTGCTTTTGTACTCAACAGCTCGTTGCATCTTTTTATGAGTCCCACCTCCCTGGTGTATATATATATATATATATGTATATATATATACATATATATATACATATATATATATATATGAAGTAAAAAATTCTGTTACAGGAGAAACACGCCTTTGCTGCAAACCGTAACAGTGCGGTTGATCTACTAACTAAGCCAAATCTAGTAGAGTTCGATCCTGGAACCCCAGGTATTAATGCATATGAGTGAATGCCGCGGTAGTCACGTGTACACACTTATTCTTCCAATAGAGACACGTTAAAAGAAAACAAGCATTTGCACTCTGTCATTCTGTTTATTGATTTTTTTTGTATCCCGTTCTTTTCTCCTACTCCCAACTGTTCCGATACAGGATGCCATCAAATTCTTCGACTACACAGTGAAACGAACCAAATGCTTACCGATTGAGCGCCGAAAATTTGTAAGTGCTTTCATGCTTGTTCAATTGTTTTCTTTTTTTCAACTCTCGCGCCGCTTTTGATATTGATTGTGAAAACGATGAACATACAGTTTTTCCATTTGCTTGCTCGTATTTCTATTTAGGTCATCTTTTGTTTCAGCACGGTCGTCCAATCTCTTTTGCGTTTCCTGTAACGCCAGCAGATCCTTTTTCTGTTTCATTGAATGATTATATGCTCCGTTATTTTCCGTAAAACAAATTGAATTCTTTATAATATTATTGGTTTAAAGATTCACTGCTAATGGGAACGCTCAGGAAGTTTGTTTACTCAATGTTTTCTCTGTTTGGCATATCGTTCTGGATCTTGGGAGGAAGTTTGAGACACTGCCTATCGTAATGTCGCATCAATAATACTAAGTTCGTCTAACCTTTCTTTTCTATATTAGTCTTACCTTGAACAGGTATGGTGCAAAGCTGCGACTAGCAAGTCGTAGACAGTCTTGTGAAGGTGCTGTGCATTGCCCATGTACTGTCGGTGTTCTTTGTCGTCATTGCACTCCCTTGTTCATTCCAGGGTAACATGCTGATTTGATGAACTACATCCCGAACCTAGGGCGGACTAATATGCAAACTGCACTAAATGGGAGCAAATGCTCTTATCCGTATGACATTCCGTCCTGTTTATCGAGTCTTACACTCCTCGGCTGGGATCCTCAACTCAAGGGTGCTCAACACACCCATCGCTCAGCCGAGTCAAACCGAGAGCCTGATTTTGGATAGTTAGGTAAATAGTCATCTATTCTGGGCGAGATAGCCACTGATGAGCCTAGTTGTAGTTCCAAATAGTCTTTCCTCCGCTTCTCACATACTTGAAAACTCGCCTCGCGTGAGCTAGTAATTGGAACTATTAACTGGTAGTCACACTCGATAGAGTGACCAAAATAGGAACAGATCACTAAAGTCTTTGGATTTGGGTAAAGGTGAAACCCGTGAAACTTGACACGAGATCAGTTTCTTAATTTTACGACTAGGGAGACGAGTTCTGTATCAAAACCGTCCGACTGAACTCCAATCCGTGAGTTGCTAATCTAAGCCGTACGAATTACTGCTTCTTTACAGGAAGCACTTGTGTATGCGAACGCTAGTGGTACAAACTATTCTCGAACATCCTCACGGGAAATTCGTTATCAAACATTAGTCTCACACGCATGTCATAATATAACTTGCCAAGGCGCGCTGTGTGCCGAGGCAGGCAGTGGATGGAAAAAGATCAAGGATGGTCAATCTGACACCTAGCATGAAGGTACGAAAACAAGAACCGTAACACTGGGTCACATGGGCTCCCTGGATGGTTACCGATGTTTAGAGGCATTGAGTGATATGGCTGAATGTCGCAAACAGTGTTGCTCTTGCATTTACTCATTATTCTTGCAAGGCCAGTCTATTTGAGTTCTCTGTCTTCTCTTGGCAGTGCCCTCAGCCTTCCAGTCTTCCTTAAGCTCGTTTATCCAAATGGGCAACTAAAACTGGCGCACGAAAGTGCATAACTAATGATTGTAAAAAGGGAACTGAATCTCACTGATGTTACGTCGCACCCGGGAAGCGACTCGTCTCGTTCTCTTTCAGTGGTCGTGACGAACATTCAACCACCGGGAATACTTCTTACATGGTTACCGGTCTACCTCACCAGTTTGTATGTCCACATCCTGCATTTCAACCCAGATATTCAGTGCACCTTTGCGTTAACTCTGCATGATCACCGCTTCTCTTGTCCAAAGTACACGTAGTAACGGTGGGACATTTGAACCTATGAATAGTTCATTGCTCATGTACTCTCGTGTGATTCTGGAACAACCCTTTGGCAAAACCTCTTGAATAATGGGATACTTGAAAAAACTACGTTTTGAACCCTTAGAGACAGGAATGTGCTAAGTTCGTTATACACAGCACTTCATCGAGACGACCAGGCTATGCTTTATCTCATGTGTATAATGTAGCAATTTGATCCAATGCCCTGAGGAGCTAGTATGCTGGTCTTCTGTTTGCTAAAGCCTCAGGTTTGCTCCTTTGAGGGGCGACACTTTCGCATTATTCAAACACCCAAGATGAGAAGTACAGATCAGGAGGAATATCTGCAAGCATAGCCTGAAAGGTACTTTCAAATTAGTCGACCTAATTCGGGACTTGGACGTCAAAGATTTGACAATGAGCTCATTGGACATACAATCCCTTTTTACAAATATGCCACTATCTGAGACGGTGTCTTACCTTTGCCAGTACATTGATGGGGAAAACATACAAATTGAAATCCCGAATACAAATTTGAATTAACTAATATTACGATGTACATATAATATCCAATTTCCTTTTAATGGTACAATCTACAGACAAATAGACGGTGTATCCATGGGTTCCCCACCTGGCCCACTCCCTGCAGATGTTTTCGTAGCCAAACTGGGAAATAACGAACTACGAAACATCATACATCAACTCCCGCTATACTGCCGTTATGTCGACGATATTTTTGTCCTTTCCGACAAAAGTATTTAAACGAACATAATGTTGGATCATTTTAAACTAGTTCATCTGTCAATCAACTTTACGATAGAAACAGAAGATCAGAAGATCCACTTTCTCGTCGTCAACCTGAAGAAGGGGCCCAATGGAAAGTTATTCCGGTCTATTCTTCGAAAGCCAACATAGAACAGCCAATGCACCCATTTTCAAAGTTTCGTCCCAATCAAACTCAAACGAACCTTAGTCCAATGTCTGGCCTTCAGAACTCGAATGATCTGCTCCAAAGATCTAGTGGAGGAAGAACTTAGATTCATAAAATCTACACTCCTTAATAACGGATACCCGGCGCGGTTCATCGAGAAGAATCTCGTAAAAAAGCCCACAATGCCCAAACCACGCACGGCCAAAAAGAAAGAACTATTCTTGCAGCTCCCGTTCAACGGAGGTTCGAGTGGTGATCTACTAAGAAGGCGTCTGGAGAAAGCTATTGCACGAACATTCCTATCCGCCACTCTACGTTTGATTTTACAAACTGACCTCAGCTCTGCACAAACCTCAAGGATAAACTGTCCATCCTCTCCTCATCTATGATTTCTTATTCCTTCACTTTGCAAGTTATGTAGGACGAACGATGAGGCAGTTCTCCCAAAGGATCAAAGAACATAAACTGGCTTGGCTGAGAACGAATTGCAAGAAAACAATAGCCAGTGCGATTATGGCCCACCTCGCTGATATCGGGCATCAACCAGACAACGATGCATTCAAAGTTATCTGCAAAGTATCCCAAAACAAATCGAAGGAAGTTCGCAAACGTCACTTGGCAACAGTGGAAGCTGTAGCAACCAAAATCATGAACCCACCACTGTGCAAACGGTAGAAGATGGTTGCCGCACTTCAGTTGCCTTGGCCCCAACGAAACGTACGTGATGACCCGAACCATGACCTCAGTTATGTCGTGATGACGCAACATGGCGTGACAAATTGCACATTGAAAAAGTCACCGAAAATTGCAGAATTTACCTTTGTATCCCTTCGCCCACTGTCCCCATTTTATCCACTCGTTCTGGTTAAACTTGATAGACATTGTTGTACTTTCATACTTAACCCCTGCGGTCCAATCACATTTATTTCTACATTAGATATAAATATAACTGTAAAGGCCTGAAGACGAAGTTACGAAAACAAGCTTGTTCACTATATTGTTTGGCCTTTGATACAGCTGGGATTGTTTCCCAAGCTTTCTCTTCACGTTTCCATTACTGTAGTCAATACCAATTTTTATCTTTTGACCGCAGTGAAGCAAAGCGCAAGTTTGTTTCTTTTCGCCTAAACGGGTATTTTTCAGTAAGGTATAACTTGCGTATCGTTATTCCGGATCGCACGAGCTATGTCTAAGCACCATCCGCACGTTCTGGGCAGATTCGGTTACTTGAATCGTCTCTTGGCTCGTTTATGTCCACCCTGTTCCCATGATCTTTTCCCAATATGTACGGAGGCACACACAGAGTTTTTCACTTAAACATCAAATCCATTACTAAAACTCAACTGAAGATCTCGGAATTGCTTGCATAGAATAGTCAACAAATTATTATCCAGAAGGTACACACTTGGGGAATAGCATTAATCTAAATACGCACATTAATATGCCCCCTCCAGCTTCCAAACCAGCTGATTTCTTTCCCTGGTAATCTTATTCACCGCATTCATCTCTGGGCTTACATAACGAAATCAGTATACTGAAGAGTCCAATCGGAATGTCAACTTCACTGCATCCATTTTAGATTACTTCCATGTTTCGTATGCGGGACAGCAGAACTGTATGCTACCGAGCGCGTCCCCAGGTCGCGGATAGGGGAACGGCCGTCATCCGGCGGCCAACCGTGAATGAGGTAGGCTTCGGTCTGCCGAATAAGCGGTCGCGGGCGATCAGCGGCAGCGCTCTAGGATGTGGTGGGTGTACCCCTGGCAAGAGTTATCCGCACAAAACACCACATATGTCTGTGGACAGCGGTGTGACGTGGTGAGTGTGGCCTGCCACTAAATATGGCCATTGCTCCTTGTAGATATGCATTGCTCGATAAAGTTTTCCAGAAGAGGCGAATAAACCAAAGACTGGCCACCGGCTCATCTGCTGCTACCTTGCACTCCGCGCTTGGTTGCTCAAAGCCTAGAGTGCATCCTCGAACAGTGCCAACTCCGGACCGGGCGACCGAGTAGTACAATAGCCCGCAACGCATACTACAATGAACCTTACTCTTACGATTATTTACTCTGATGCTTTTTCATCCTGCAAAAAACGTTCTACACCATACACAGCTCCTTGTTCTCCCAGCTCATCTCTACACATCCTACACTTCTCCATCTCTCTCGGGAGCTTCAGACGATTGTACTAGCAGTAGTGCCTCGGGCGGAAATTCTGCCGCTCTTTTCATACGCCGACTAACATCCAAGTCTCACCGAATCCTTCACCAGCTGAAACCCTTCTTCGCCCTCTATGTCCCTTC